AGAGAGTTGCTGCTATTCTTTTCTTCGATCTCCTGTTGAGTTCGTAGGTGTTCAGTGTGGTTTGATCCCTATCTAGCTGAATTCCTGGGACCAGAGGTAATTTAGGTCTCCTACTCCTCTGCCATCTTTGTCCTCCCCCCCACTTTTGTTGATTTTGATGGCAGTTTTCCATGCCTCCTGGATCTGAATATGTCTGTTTTTTCCCCCAGGTTAGGGAAGTTTTCAGGTATTATTTCTTGAAATAAATTTTCTGCCCCCTTTCTCTCTTCTTCTTCTGGGAGTTCTATACTATGGATGATACTATGTTTGATGGAGTCACTGAGTTCCATAAGTCTATTTTCCTTTTGCATAATTCTTTTTTTTTCTCTTTTGTTCAGCTTGGTTACTTTCTTCCATTACTCTGTCTTTTGGGTCACTAATTCATTCCTCTGCTTCTTCCTTTCTTCCGTTCATTCCATCAAGCATGTTTCTCTTTTAGTTTATTGTGCCCTTTGGCTCTGTTGTTTGTTCCTTATCTCTTTGTTAAGGTTCTTACTCATGTCTTGCACTCTTTTCTCAATTCCAGTGAATCCTCATAATCATTGCTTTAAATTCTCTATCAGGCATGTTTATTTGTTTTGCTTTGAATGGGCTGTGGCCTTGCCCTATTCTTTCAATTTGCGTAAGTTTCTCTGTCTCCTCATTTTGCCTACCTCTTGGTGTCTGTTTGTGTGTGTTAAGAATGTCAGCTATGTCTTCTCTTCTTGAAAGTAGTGACTTTATGAAGAGGCCCTGTGCAGTGTCCCCTGTGTACTGGAAACTGACACTTCAGTAGAGTATCCTATGTGTGTTGCTTACATCCTGCTTTTGTGCCTGAGTCACTTTTCCTTTCAGTTCAGTCTCCTGCACTGACTCTCTGCCTATTGTGGGCTGTGTTTGTTCTCTGTGGTGTTAGTGAGACCTAGGCAAGGCAGCTCTTAGGGGTTACACCTGCTGAAGAACTTGGGGATGGGGCAGCATCTTTAGCAAAATTTTCTTTATGCAATAGTCTTATGCTGGATCCCTTGAAGTGCAGGGGCAGCTGGGGGCTGGGCTTCAGTGTGAGAGGGTGTGGGTTGCTGGGCACTGTGTGTGGTGATAGGTGGGCATAGCTGAGTCAGGTGAGCAATGGTGACTGGGAACCCAGCAGCTGGGCAGGGCCTGTATGCAACTTAATGAAATTTTCCCTGAGCCCAGGGCTGAGGCTAGCAGCATTGGAGTGTGGGAGTCCTCAGGAGAACTTGTGGGCATGGCACATTGCTAATAAGTTAGTTAGCTGGTGTCTGTGCAGCCCAGGGTCCTGCAGATGGCCCTGTGTTTATGATGGAAAGTGGCACCTGCCAGCTCCCTCATTTTCAGGGAAATCTCCAACATGCTCTGAAATCAGTAAAAACAGATGTGTCTCCTGTTTGCCCTCAGCATTTTGTAGACTGCCTTTTTTTTTATATTACCTCCATGCACAGGCTGCTGTCTCTTAAGGGTAGTGACACAGCTGTTACAGCTATTACCAGCCCTCTGGGCTTGCCCAGTGCTGAGTCAGCTGGCATTTAAAGCTCCAGGTTCCAAATCCCAGTGGTTATACAAACTCATGGAATTCAGCTCCTCTGGTTTTTAAAACCAAAAGATATGGGGATTTGTCTTCCCTCTGCGAGCTCCATGGTGCAAGGACCTATTTCTCTCCCCTCTCTGCACATGCAGCTCCCTCCCAGTCTTCCTCTACCTTTCTGACCTTCCTAAACGTTCAGATGCAGCTTCTTCTTTTTTTTTTAAGATTTTATTTATTCATTTAAGAGAGAGAGCACAAGCAGAGGGAGGGGAAGAGGGGGAGAGAGAGGGACAAGCAGTCTTCCCGCTGAGCAGGGAGCCCAACGCGGAGCTTGATCCCAGGACCCTGGGATCATGACCCGAGCTGAAGGCAGATGCTTAACCTACTGAGCCACCTACGTGCCCTAGATGCAACTTCTTCTCTATATTTAGTTGTGAAATTTGTTTTGCCAGTCTTTGGATCTCTGATTTATTGACTTAGATGTGGATGATATTTATTTTTAAACATGGGATGTGGTGAGCCCAGCGTCTTTCTACTCCACCATCATCCCAAGCTCCCCCATATTAACTATTTATTAAATGGTGAAAAGACAGACTATAGGTGTTATTAATCCGTCATGCTACTCTGTTGAAATAATCTTTTTTTTTTTTCAGCTATCAGCCTGTAGTTGACTATGTAGATGCTCAATTTGAGGCCTATTTTCAAGAAGAATTGAAAATTAAACGTTCCTTCATTGACTACCATGATTCCCGTATACATGTGTGCCTTTACTTCATTTCACCTACAGGACATTCTCTGAAGTCCCTTGATCTATTAACTATGAAGAACATTGACAGTAAGGTGTGTTAGATAAATCCATCAGTCTATCAAGGTTTGATAATTATTTTGTGATAATATATAATTTGAAGGTATTTGCATACAAGAACTTGTTAATTTTAATATGTTAAAATATAATTTTTCTTTTTTAAGAAGATTTTATTTATTTATTTGACAGAGAGAGGGAGATAGTGCAAGCAGGGGGAGCAGCAGGCAGGAGAGAGGGAGATGCAGGCTTCCCTCTGAACGGGAAGCCCAACTCAGGGCTTGATCCCAGGACCCTGGGATCACGACCTGAGCTGAAGGCAGACACTTAGCCATCCAGGCACCCCCAAACATAATTTTTTCTGTTAATCTTTAAAGCACTGCTCTTAGTTTCCAAGGGATGACATTGCAACTGCAACATACCACAAACTTAGTAGTTCAAACAACAGAAATTAATTTTCTCACAGTTATGGGAAGTAGAAGTCCAAGATGAAGATGCCATCAAGGTTTTTTTTCTTCTAAAACCTCTTTTTTTGAGTGATAGACGGCTGCCTTCTCACCATGTCCTCACATGGTCTTTCCTCTGCACATGTCTGATGTTTCTTTTTTTTTTTTTTAAAGATTTTGTTTATTTATTTGTGAGAGAGAGAATGAGAGACAGAGAGCATGAGAGGGAGGAGGGTCAGAGGGAGAAGCAGACTCCCTGCCGAGCAGGGAGCCTGACGCGGGACTCGATCCCGGGACTCGATCCCGGGACTCCAGGATCATGACCCGAGCCGAAGGCAGCGGCTTAACCGACTGAGCCACCCAGGCGCCCCATATCTGATGTTTCTATATGTCTGTGTTTCCTCTTCTTATAAGCACACCAGTCTCATTGGATTAGGGCCTATTCTAATGACTTTATTTTCACTTAATCACCGCTTTAAAGAGTCTTGTTCTGAGATACTGGGGGTTAGGGTCTCAACATATGCACTGGGGAGGGATGATACATTCAGCACATAATAGCATTTGATAAATTTCAACCTTAGTTTGCTTTCCAGAAAAATTTAATTAGGTATGTATTAGGAAAATAAGATAAAGGTTAAAAAATATTAAAATAAAAATTTATGGGTTTTTGTGATTAAAGTCATAGAGGTTGTGGTAATTTGGCTGTATTTTTAAAATTGAATTCATTCTACAGTAGTATAAAACAATCCCATTAACATTACCTGTTACCGCTGATTGTGTGGTACGACTAAATTAATTTAGTGTACAGTATTGATGAAAGTCTCTTCTGACTTTTAGTACTCAGTTTAAGAAATTAAATTGATAATGAATTAATTTGACTATCATGAAGTTTTCATGATCCTGGCTAGTGGTCCTATCACAGAGTATTCAGAATGTAACATGTATGTATATATTTTTTCCAATGGAGGGTAAATATATATGTGAAAGAAACTTTTATGTCATGTGTTCTTTTCTATACTTTCTTAAGTTGAAGAGAGAAAAAGTTCTAAAATTTGGTTTGTTTTTATCAAAGAAGGCCTGACCTTTGCTATGTATTGTTCAAACTGGAAAAAAAATTTGTACCTAATCTTCTATGTCACCAAGTTGTTGAAAGAAGTTAGATTTCTAGTTAAAATGAAGAGCTGCCTCAATTTCTTGAGTATTACTATATTCAATTGCCAGGGACACACAGTTTTATTTTTAATTTTATGGGTAGCTCTTATCATTAAACAATTTCCAGATATAGAAAATTACTATTTTTTTTTTTTTACAGGAACATTACATAAAGGGGTGAGCAGTGGTGTGTGTGTCTGTTGTCTTCTCCTCTAGGTTGCCTAGTTCCCTTCTGCAATAAGTGACTTTCATTCCTCAAATCTGAACACCTAAAGAATTATTAACATGGAAAATTTCCATTTGTTATGTGTTAAGATTTTACTATCATTAGAAGATAGCTTTCTCAGCAATACAATCCAAGATATTTATGTTAGACTTGAACCTACCTTAGTAGTTGTGTGCTTTTTACTGTGGAAGGTATTATTTAAGATTCTAAAATTAGATAGAAATTTGAACATCAGTGTTATATTGAGGCCCTAGATTTGTACAAGGATTTTTTAAAATGTACTTTGAAGAATCTAAAACAAAAACAATATACCTAGAACTGACTTTTATGCACTCTTACTATATCACAGAACTTGACATTATGTAGCTATGATTTAATAAGATACTTTAACAGTAATAAAATATTTTATAATTTTGCACATTTTTAATTTCTACAAAGTTTAATTATTAAAATGTAAATGCATGGAGACAGGAGTGATCATATTGTAGAACTAGGAAGAAAAGTTTATGAATAAAATTTCAACCTCAAATATGCAATACAGAAATAGTACCTTTTTACAAATTGCAAATGAAGATATTTGTGAGCAAGGTATTATACACATATACACATAGACTCAGTCTTCAGAGTATTGTAACAAAAAAGGGTCTATTATTTTAGGTGACCTTTGGAAAACACAAGCAAATATATCTACAAAGATGGATTTATGGAGAAGGTGATGAAAATGAATGACATGTAGAAGGACAAAATTAATTTAGTGTACAGTATTGACGAAAGACTCTTCTGACTTTTAGTACTCAGTTTAAGAAATTAAATTGATAATGAATTAATTTGACTATCTTATTCTACTACTTACATTTTACTAACTCCAAATGTGTTGAAAGTGTAAAAAAGTTTGAGAAAAGAAATTTGAAACTTCTAAACCTGAATTCTGATAAAAGATTAATCTTCAAAAGTAATGATTATTTTGGAAAGCCATTTTGTGAAGAAGGTATGGTAGTAGCCAGTGATTATCTAGTTGTAAAAATTTATTGTCAGAGCTTGTGAGGTTTTGACATAAAAATTCCAGGATTAACAACAAATCCTCAATGGTGAGATTTTGTTTGCTTCTTTATTTACAGGTGAACATTGTACCATTGATTGCCAAAGCAGATACAATTTCTAAAAATGATTTACAGAAATTCAAGTGTAAAATAATGAGTGAATTGGTTAGTAATGGCATCCAGATATATCAGTTTCCAACAGATGATGAAACTATTGCTAAGATGAACTCCTCAATGAATGTAAGCTTTTAACTATTGAATATCAATTCTATTTTGTGTGGGAATAAAAATATAATTTGTAAGTAACAATATTAGTAATAAATTGTAACTTGTATCTGACAAAGAGACTTTAAAATCTATTGTGGGAAATCTCTTTTCTCTCCTCCCCTCCCCTCCCCTTCACCCCTTCCCTCCCTCCTTCCCACCCACCTTTCTTTCTTTCTCTCTTCTCCTCCCCTCCCCTCCCCTCCCCTCTCCTCTCCTTTCCTCTCTTCTCCTCTCCTTTCCTCTCTTCTCCTCTCCTTTCCTCTCCTCTCCTATCTGTCAGATCTCCTCACCAACCATAGGCAACCACTAATCAACTTCCCTCTCTGTAGATGATTTCTCTGTTCTGGACACATCATATGAATAGAATTAATGATATTTAGTCTCTTTATGTACTTATTGGCTATTAGCATATCTTCCCAGGAGAAATGTTTGCTTATATCCATTTTATAAGGATCTGGAAAATGGAAAAAAAGATCCATTTTAAGTGAGCTTTTGTCTTTTTATCATTGAATTGTAAATTCTTTATGTATTCTGGATATAAGTTCCCTATGAGACATATAACTTGGAAATATTTTCTCCCAAGCTGTTGGTCATTTCCTTTCTTTTTGCTATCATTTGAAACACAGAAGATTTAATTTTGATGAAGTCCAATTTATCTATTTGTTGTTGTCGTTGTTGTTTATATTTTTGGTGTCATATCTAAGAATATTTTGCCAAATCCAAGGTAATAAATATTTATGTTTTCTTCTAAGAGTTTAAAAAATTATGGAAAATACACATAACATGAAATTTACCATCTTAAATATTCTACAGTGTACAGTGGAGTGGTATTCATCATTCACATTTTTGTGCTCCCATCATCACCATCTATCCACAGAACTGTTTTCCCACCTTGCAAAACTAAAAGCCTGTATCTAAGAAACAGTAACTCCACATCACCCCTCCCCTCAGCCCCTGGAAACCACCATTGTACTTTCTGTCTATAAATTTGACTATTCAAGGTAGTTCCTGAAAACAGAATTATACAATATTTGTCCTTTAATGTCTGTACAGATATCTCTTTGAGTCCTGCTTTTAATTACTTTGAGTACCTTCCAAGAAGTGGAATTGTTAGATTTTATGGAATTCTGTTTAATTTTTTGGAGAACTGTCACACTGTTTCATTATCAACTACAGTTTATCTACATCCTAGCCAATGCTGCTTTTTTTTTTTTCCCTTAAATAATAGCTAGTCTTAATGGATGTGAGCTGGTATCTCACTGTACTTTTGATTTGAATTTTCCTAATGATTACTGAAGTTGAGCATCTTTATATGTGTTTTTTAAGTTTGTATACCATCAGTGGAGAAATGAGTAAATACCCATTTTATTTAGTTTTCTGATTTGTTGATGTGCTGTTGTTCATAGTATTCATTTATGATTATTTTTATTTCTGCAATGTTGGTGGTAATGTGTCTCATTTCTGATTCTAGTAACTTGAGTCTCTTCTTTTTATCTTGGTTGATCTGGCTAAAGGTTGGTCAATTTTGTTGATCTATTCAAAGAACCCACTTTTAATATCTTTGATTTTTCTATATTTTACTGTTCCTTATTTCATTAATTCACACTTTACCCAGTATTATTTCCTTCCTTCTGCCTGCTTTAGGTTTAGATCTTTCTTCTTTTTTTTAGTGTCTTAAAATTAATGGTTAGGTTGTAGATTTGAAATTTTTCTTTTTTCTTTTTTTAAAATTTAAAATCAATTAAATAGCATATAATGTATTATTAGTTTCAGAGGTAGAGTTTAGTGAGTTCAGTTGCATGTAACACCCAATGCTCATTACATCATGTGCCCTTTTTAATGCCCATCCCCCAGTTACCCCATCCCCCCACCCACCTCCCCTCCAGCAACCCTGTTTGTTTCCTATAGTTAAGAGTCTCATGGTTTGTTTCCATCTCTGATTTTGTCTTATTTTATTTTTCCTTCCCTTCCCCTCTGTTTATCTGTTTTGTTTCTTGAATTCTACATGAGTGAAATTATATGCTATTTGTCTTTCTCTGGCTGACTTATTTTGCTTAGCATAATACCCTCTATTTCCTTCCACGTCATTGCAAATGTTAAGATTTCATTTTTTGATGGCTGAGTAACATTCCATTATATATATATATATCACACCTTCTCTATCCATTCATCATTCAGTGGACATTCAATGGACATTTGGGCTCTCTTCATAGTTTGGCTATTGTTGATAATGCTGCTACAAAACATTGGGGTGTATGTACCCCTTCAAATCAGTATTTCTGTATCCTTTGGGTACATACCTAGTAGTGTAATTACTGGATCTTAGGGCAGTTCTATTTTTAACTTTTTGAGGGAACCTCCGTACAGTTCTCCAGAATGACTGCACCAGTTCGCATTTCCATCAATGGTGCAAGAAGGTTGCCCTTTCTCCACATCCTTGTCAACACCTCTTGTTTCTTGTGTTGTTAATTTTAGCCATTCTGGCAGGTGTGAGGTGGTATATCATCATGGTTTTGATTTGCATTTCCCTGATGATAACTTACATTGAGCATCTTTTCATGTGCCTGTTAGTCATTTGTATGTTCTTTGGAAAAGTGTCTATTTTTGTCTTCTGTCCAGTTCTTAACTGGATTATTTGTTTTTTGGTTGTTGAATTTAATAAGTACTTTATAAGTTTTGGGTACTAACCCTTTATCAGATATGTCATTTGCAAATATCTTCTCCCATTCCATTGCTTGCCTTTTAGTTTTGTTGATGGTTTCCTTTGCTGTGCAGAAGCTTTTTATCTTGATAAAGTCTCAATAATTCACTTCTGCTTTTGTTTCCCTTGACTCAGGCGATGTATCTAATAAGAAGTTGCAAGGCTGAGGTCAAAGAGGTTTCTGCCTGTGTTCTCCTCTAGGATTTTGATGGATTCCTGTCTCACATTTAAGTCTTTCATCCATTTTTAATTTATTTTTGTTTTATGGTGTAAGAAAGTGGTCTGGTTTCATCCTTTTGCATGTTGCTTCCCAGTTTTCCTGGCACCATTGTTGAAGAGACTGTCTTTTTCCCTTTGGATATTCTTTCCTGCTTTATTGAAGATTAGTTGACCATAGATTTGAGGGTCCATTTCTGGGTTCTCTGTTCTGTTCCATTGATCTATATATCTGTTTTTGTTTCAGTACTGTATTGTCTTTTTTTTGAAGATTGTACTTATTTATTTGACAGAGAGAGAACACCAGCAAGGGGAGCTGCAGAGGGAGAGGGTGAAACAGGCTCCCCACTGAGCATGGAGCCCAATGCAGGGCTTGAACCCAGGACCCTGGCATCATGACCTAAGCTGAAGGCAGACGCTTAACTGACTGAGCAACCCAGGCACCCCAGTACCTTACTGTCTTGATGGCTACAGCTTTGTAATGTAGCTTAAAATCCAGAATCGTGGTGCCTTCAGTTTTGTTTTTCTTTTTCACAATTGTTTGGCTATTTGGGGTCTTTTCTTGTTCCATACAAATTATAGGATTTGTTGTTCTAGTTCTGTGAAAAACGCTGGTAGTATTTTGATAGAGATTGCATTAAATGTGTAGATTGCTTTGGGTAGTATCGAAATTTTAACAATGTTTGTTCTTCAAAACCATGATCACAGAATGTTTTTCCATTTATTTGTGTCCTCTTTCACTTCTTTCATAAGTGTCCTATTGTTTTCAGAGTATAGATTTTTTACTTCTTTAGTTAGATATATTCCTCGGTATCTTACCATTTTTGGTGCAATTGCAAATGGGATTGATTCCTTGGTTTCTTTATCTGCTGCTTCATTAATGGTGTATACAAATGTAACAGATTTAAGAGGAAGATGGCAGAGGAGTAGGGGGCCCTAATTTTGTCTGGCCTCTGGAATTCATCTACATAGCTATCAAATCTTTCTGAACATCTGTGAACTCAACTGGAGATCTAAGAAAAGAATTGCTGCAATTCTACAAATAGAGAACCAACTACTTTTTGCAAGGAATCCCAGGCCGTATATCAAGATAAACCATGGGGGCAGAGGGAGGGAACCTCCATAAGCCGGCTACTGGAAAGTGATATAGCAGTAGAGTGCAAAATCAAAACTTTTAGAGGTCTGCTCCAGTGAGGGATGTTCCTGTCTGAGGCACTCAGGTGGCAAAGTGGGCAGAATCCTAGGTGGAACAGTGTGGTCTCAGGATTCCTGGGGTCACAAAAAGAATGGGGGTGCCTGAGTGCTGCAGAGTTCCCAAACATTGGAGTAGGGAAGCCGACTGCAAACAGAGAGCCCAGGAATGGGCTTTCAGCTGTGTTGCCATAAACCATAAACCTTGGCTGGTCAGGCAACCACTCTCCAAGCAGGGGCCCAACAAGAGGCAGAACCGTGGCAAGACTCCTCTCTATACCCCAGGGGGAGTGGTGAAAGTGCATGCCACAGGAGTCTGTAAAGTTTGGAGACTCAAAATGGGGTCAGGAGCCTGAGATAAAAATGCTTGGTCACAGGTTGGGTGAACAGAGTGTAGATGGAAACCAGGGAGACAAGAGTGATTGACTGCTTTTCTGTGAAGACTCACTGAAGAGGTGGGGGGTGCAATATTTCAGATCCCCAGCTGGAGATTGGGAGACTGCAATTTTGATTTTCATCCTCTAAAGTGGTGGAGAAAGTTTTCAGGGAACAAAAGCCACGTAGAGCAATCTGAAGGCATTCACAACGAGCCTGGCCTCCTGGCAAGGGTGGTGCGATTCTGACAGGGCAAAGACACCTGAGAATCAGCACAACAGAACCCTCCACCAGAAGATCAGCAGGAACATCCTAATACCAAGTGTTTTTTTTTATTTTTTGTTTTTTTTATTGAAAAAATATTTTTATTATTTAAAATTTTTTATTATGTTCAATTATCAAACATATAGTACATCAAAAATATTGATGTAGTGTTCAGTGATTCAAGAGTTGGGTATAACACCCAGTGCTCATCACACACGTGCCTAAT